GAAACTCAACCCCCCCTACACCCAGCATCTATGTACGTATGCCGCCTGCCCCCAGAGCCGCCTTACTTCCCAGAAGGGTTGCATCCGGGCGCTTAGAGCCTGGAAGAGGCTCTGACCCGGTGTCTCCTGGTTGTCTTAGTTGGAGAGCAAACGGGATGCCTTCTCGCCAGTGCTGCTACAATTCTGCACAGACCCTCGGAACCCCATCACCGTGATCAGGGGCCTGGCTGGTTCACTTCGGCTCAGTGAGTCTGGGGGGAGCATATGCACAAGGCTGTGAGGGTTGTGATATGTGGAGTCCTTTGAGGAACCTCCCCCCCCCCCCCCATGCTTGCAGATTTGCCACAGTGACTCTAAGGAGCTCATGTACTCAGTCATGCAGATGCCATGTTTGAGAAGGGCTCTGAGTGGTGTGCCAGCTAGCCTTGAGATTTTCTCATCTGTCATTTCTGTCCCCAGAAGTGGACACATGGAAAGATGGATTTCAGGAGTGGTTGGAGTCGATTCTGATTGACTTAGTGATTAAGAATGAAAAGAGCCGGGAACCTTTAATCCCAGCACTCGGGAGGCAGAGGCAGGCGGATCTCTGAGTTTGAGACCAGCCTGGTCTATGTAGTGAGTTCCAGGACAGCTAGGGTTACACAGAGAAACCCTGTCTCAAAAAACCAAAACCAAATGAATGAAAAGAATGGATCATAGACTACTTCTGATCCATGGTTTGACTTTTCTTTTTCCATCTTTTGCCGTGCAAATTTTTAAACAGTATAAACAAGGGGAAACTGTCGAAATGTAAAGATCAGTCTTGTTTGCTTTATGCCCTTATATCTTTCCTCCCACCGAGTAATTTGAGGGGCATTTCAAGCTTGACTGCGTCTTTCGCTTGCTGCAGCGGCCACTTGTCGTTCATTGACTGCAGTCTGAGAATTCAGGTCGAGAGACAGAGGCCTGAAGTTGAAGAAGGGCTGGGAGAGACCCCAAGAAGGCAGCCTTGACAGCTTCCTGGGGCTGGGATCTGCCACATCTGTGCCCACTTCACCAGAGGCCTGGCCAGCTGGAAGGGAGAAGGCGAGTTGGGCCAACTGTCCTGAATGACATTCTGTTTGGCTGTCCCTTCCAGACTTGGGCCTTTTCTCCACCAAGACGCTGGTGGAGGCAAGCGGTGAGCACACAGTGGAGGTCCGCACCCAAGTGCAGCAGCCCTCAGACGAGAACTGGGACCTGACAGGCACAAGGCAGATCTGGCCCTGCGAGAGCTCCCGTTCACACACCACCATCGCCAAGTACGCGCAGTACCAGGCCTCATCCTTCCAGGAGTCACTGCAGGTGAGGGTTGTGCACAAGTAGTAACGAGGGTGCTGGGGTCTGACGTCATTGCGCGTCAGGAAGTCACTGACCTAGACCTGCCTACCTGTCCGACCAAGCAGGAAGAGAAGGAGAGTGAGGACGAGGAGTCAGAGGAGCCGGACAGCACTACGGGAACCCCGCCCAGGTAAGTGTAACCTGGTCCCTTCTGGCTTTGCTCTTTGGCTCCGTTGGTTCGCCAACAAGCTCTGTGCCTTTGCCCCAGCAGCGGTGCTCCGGACCCCAAGAACCATCACATCATCAAGTTTGGCACTAACATTGACCTGTCTGATGCCAAGAGGTCAGTGGGGCTAGACCAGTCACGTCGGGATGAAACCATGTCAGGCACTGGCTGGGATTCCCTCTCACTGTTGGCGTTTCTGTGTCCACAGGTGGAAGCCCCAGCTACAGGAGCTGCTGAAGCTACCTGCCTTCATGCGGGTAACGTCCACAGGCAACATGCTCAGCCATGTGGGCCACACCATCCTGGGCATGAACACCGTGCAGCTGTACATGAAGGTCCCTGGCAGCCGAACGCCAGGTGTGCTGCTCACCCTGAGCACGGTGCGGGAAGTGCGCACTCAGTGCTCAGCTGGTAGCCAGTGAGGGCAAAGGGCGGGGTTATCGCGGGTGCGGGTTTGCTTCAGACTATCCGTGGCGTTCTACCTCCCTCTACAGGCCACCAAGAGAATAACAATTTCTGCTCCGTCAATATCAACATTGGCCCCGGGGACTGCGAGTGGTTTGCAGTACATGAGCACTATTGGGAGACCATCAGCGCCTTCTGCGACCGGTGCGCACCGCCCCCTTGTGAGCTGCCCCATCACATCGGGTCCTTAGGTCTCTCGCCTGACCCTGTGGCTGCCCACCCCACAGGCATGGTGTGGACTACTTGACTGGTTCCTGGTGGCCAATCTTGGATGACCTCTATGCGTCCAATATTCCCGTTTACCGCTTCGTGCAGCGCCCTGGAGACCTCGTGTGGATTAATGCAGGGACTGTGCATTGGGTGCAGGCTACTGGCTGGTGCAACAACATTGCCTGGAATGTGGGGCCCCTCACCGGTAAGGGGGGTCGAGTCACCGTGGTGCGGGGTATGAGGAGTGAGCCCTGTTGGGGAGAGGTGGGTGTGAGGGAGGAGGGGGCCGGGGGCTGTTTGAAAATCCTTGCTGGCTTCCTCTGGCTGCAGCCTATCAGTACCAGCTGGCCCTAGAGCGATACGAATGGAACGAGGTGAAGAACGTCAAGTCCATCGTGCCCATGATTCATGTGTCCTGGAACGTAGCTCGGACCGTCAAAATCAGCGACCCTGACTTGTTCAAGATGATCAAGTGAGGCCCCTGTTTGGTTAGCACCCACCTCCTCCTGACTTGCTGCCTACCCTACCCTCGTTCTTCCCCGACAGACCTCATGTCTGTGATGTGTCACAGAGGCTGCTGTGCTGAGGAGGCTGACGGAACCCTATTCTCACACACACGCGCGCGCGCGCGCACACACACACACACAGGACAAATGTGGCAAATGTGGCATTTGCAAGACAGGAAATGCGATGCAAATGAAGAGGGAGCGCTGCAGAGGGAGCTGCTGGGGCTGAGCTCCGGAACACTGCCCACCAGCCTCGGCCATCTCTCTTAGTCGAGTCTCAGTGCGACCTTTGGCTCTTCCCAGGTTCTGCCTCCTGCAGTCCATGAAGCACTGCCAGGTGCAGCGGGAGAGCCTGGTGCGGGCGGGGAAGAAGATCGCTTACCAAGGCCGCGTCAAGGATGAGCCTGCCTACTACTGCAACGAGTGCGATGTGAGTCCGGGGCGGCCTGTGGGGCGGGTCCCGTGGGGCCTCCTTCCCGCTGACAGCCCCTTCCTCCCGGCCAGGTGGAGGTGTTCAACATCCTGTTCGTCACGAGTGAGAACGGCAGCCGAAACACCTACCTGGTGCACTGCGAGGGCTGCGCGCGCCGCCGCAGCGCGGGCCTCCAGGGCGTGGTGGTGCTGGAGCAGTACCGCACGGAGGAGCTGGCTCAGGCCTACGATGCCTTCACGCTGGTGAGAGCGAGCGCGGGGCCTGGGGGGCGGGGCCGGGGCCACACCCACCCACGCTCAAGCCGCCGCTTTCTCTCGCAGGCTCCCGCCAGCACGTCGCGATGAGGCCGGACGCCCCGCTCGCCCGCCCACGCAGGGCGTGGCGGGGCCACCAGCACACGCCTGGGCTGGACCTAGGTCCCGCCTCGGGCTGGGAAGGGGGTGGGGCCCGGCCCTTCCACCCTTATTGGCAGCTCCCCTCACTTAACTTATTAAGAAATTTTTTTAACAAATACGAGGAAAAAAAGGAAAAAAAAAGGGAGACGGGGAGGGGGCTGGCAGCCCCTCGCCCATCAGCGCCTCCCCTCACCGACTTTGGCCTTTCTAGCAACAGACACAAGGACCAGGCTCCGGCGGCGGCGGGGGTCACATACGGGTTCCCTCAAGCCTGCCCGCCGCGCCCGCCCGCCCGCCGCCCGCCGGTGCAGACGTTCGCGGCTCGTTGTGTACATAGACATTCGGCAGCCGAGGTTTTTAATGAGATTCTTTCTATGGGCTTTACCCCTCCCCCAGGACCTCCTTTTTTTACTTCCAATGCTAGCTGTGATCCCTGTATATGTCTCTGTTTATTCACTTGGTTATGATTTGTATTTTTGTTCTTTTTTTGTTTTTTGTTTTTAATTTATAACAGTCCCACTCACCTCTATTTATTCATTTTTTGGGGGGAAACCCGACCTCCTGCACCCCCAAGCCATCCCTCCTGCCTCTCTGGGAGGCCCGCTTCTGGGCTCTCCTTGCCCCCAGTATATGTCCGGGCTTGGCCCGTCCGTCTCCGCCCGCCCGCGGCTCCAGCCGGGCTCTCATGGTGCTCAAACCCGCTCCCCTCCCCAACGTCCTGCACTTTCTTGGACCAGTACCCCCACTCCCAACCCGACCCCAACCCCACCTGAGGGTGAGCGACTCCTGTACTGTAGGGGAAGAAGTGGGAACTGAAATGGTATTTTGTAAAAAAAAAATAAATAAATAAAATAAAAAATAAAAGTTTTAAAGAAAGAGCTATGAGGAAAAGGAACCCTGTCCTCCCCAGCCTTGGCCAATTTAAAAAGCGTTGGACACCTCTACCCCCACCCCCACCCCCCTTTTTTTTTAAAGGCGTGAAACAGCCCAGGGCAGGGCCTCACTGGGGCAGGGACACCCTGGGGTGAGTTCCTCTGGGGCTTTATTTTCATTTTCTTAGTTCGTTTTCTCCCGCTGGGGCTGCGGAGGGGTGGGGGGCTTACAGTCCCGCCCCCTCGCACTGCACTGTCTCTCTGCCCCAGGGGCAGAGAGGTCTTCCCAACCCTACCCTATTTTCAGTGATTTTTGTGTGAGAATTATTAATATTAAAAATAAAAGCAGAAAAAAATCCCTTGTGTTTTGATGATGGCTGTAAAGAGGGTCAGTAGAAGAGTCGGGAAACTGATTGATGGGAGGGCAGCGCGGACCCCGGTGGTAGCGAGCCCCTCCCCGGAGGCGCCTGTGGAATGTCCAGAGCCAGGGTCTGCTCCTTGGGATGAGGATGCCTAATCCTAGAGCTGCATTCCAGGATAAGGTAGTTGGGGGTGGGGTGGGGAGAGGCTGTACCGGGGGAGGGGCAGGAAAGAGGGCTATAAGGGCTGCAGCCATGCGGGGCGGGAACCAGCCAGGCCATGGCGGAGGTCCCCGGAGCCCAACGCTCGGCTCTCGCTGGCGGCCCGGAGCCCCGGGATCCCCTGGATTGCTGGGCCTGTGCAGTACTAGTAACGGCTCAGAATCTACTGGTGGCTGTCTTCAATCTTCTCCTGTTGGCACTAGTCCTGGGGACCATCTTGCTACCCGCTGTCACCATGTTGGGCTTCGGCTTCCTCTGCCACTCCCAGGTAAGCATGGGCCCCAAGGGGTATGCGTGCACGGTGGTGGTGTGGTGGTGTCTTTGCGCCACAACCTCCTGACCTGGGCTGTTTCCCTACGGGGCAGTGTGGCCCGGTGGGCTAGTCTGATGTCTGTTATCTGCACAGTTCCTGCGCTCCCAGGCACCCCCTTGCACCGCCCATCTGCGGGACCCAGGCTTCACGGCCCTGTTGGTCACTGGATTCCTGCTGCTGGTGCCACTGCTTGTGCTTGCCTTGGCCACCTACCGCCGCCTCTGCCTGCGCCTCCGCCTGGCCGACTGCCTGGTACCCTACAGCCGAGCCCTCTACAGGCGCCGGCGCGTCCCACAGCCGAAGCAAATCCCGGCCTCACCGGAGTCCCGGGCTGTTCCCACACCGGGAAAGGTCTGGGTTTGAGGTGCCTTAAATCAAGAATTCTGTCGACTGTTCTCATGGTCGCGCAAGGACTGAAGCAAGCCCAGGAGTATTCTGCCCTGCCCTGCTCCTTCCCACTGCCTGAGTCAGGTCCTGGCATCCCTTGGATGGAGCAGCATCACCTGGGACCCAACGCTGGCGAAATTGCCCCAGAAAATATCATCCTGCACGTTTGGGCTGGACCCTGGACAGCTTTCCCTGCCCAGCATGAATAGGAGGGCTGGACTTCGTGCCTTCCTTAGCTGGTGCTGCTCCTCTAATGTACGGGATAGAAGAAACCATCACAAATAATAAAGAATTTATGAAATGAATGTGCTCTGTGAATACAGGGGAGGCATATATACAGCCGTCGTTGCCCAGGGCTCAGGAGGAGGAAACAAATCCGGAGACTACAAATGGGCAGAGCAGAGCATCCTGCAGCCCCTGCCTTTCTCTTATCGCATTAGCCCGTCCTTCCTGGTTAGACCCCAGAGTGCTGACCCTGACCCCAAAGTCACTTCGCCATTAATAGCACAGAGGGGGCCTTGCTTCAGCTGCCTACCCAGCTCCCCTTGGGGACCCGAGCCCGTTCTCTGACCCCAGTTTAAAGGAACTAAGTGTTGCCAGGCCGGGGTGGGAAACAATGGGTCTTCCGGAGCAGGATGACACCCCCTCCCGCTACAATGTGAAGCAGCAGCGTGGGAGGGAAGATGGAGGGGCCCACCCTATGGCCTGTGGCCTTAAAACGCGTAACTTGAGGGAGGCTTTGGTACTCCTCAGCATTAGGTTGAGGGGGCGGGCAAAGGAAGCGCCTGAACCCAGATAAACCGCTAAGGGTGCGGTGTGCTGTCCCTGCCCTGGCATCGGACCTACACACAGACACGGGCTGCTTTGGTCATAGGGTTTAATGGTCTCAAAAATAAGTGCGATTGTGGTCAGAGATATGGGGCTCCCGCCAGGCTCTCCCTTTGAACTTCAATAGAAACGATGTGATGTCCTGGTACCATGGCCAGACCCAGCACACGGGGTTCCCCCGCAGAAAATGAATCTGGAAAAAAGGGTCAGATCATCAGAACTGCAGGCAAGCATCAGTCTCGCCCCGGAAAATAAGGGGTGCAGATAAGGCCCGCAAGAGTAAATAAATGCCTTGCGGTGAATTTACGCCGCATTCCCGAGGTGGTGTGTATTCCCGGGACACTGACCAGACGGCTTGAGGAATTCCTGCGCAGAGCCCAGGATGACATTACAGTCGCGATCGGTGCACAGGAAGCAGCCGACTAGTGTCCTTCCATCTGTCATACGAATGCGCATGGTCTTGTTGAGCAATGCCTCTAGTTGTTGCCGGGCACGCGCAGCCGGCGAGTCCTCCTGTTCCCCGTCAGAGTCCTGCTAGAGCAGGACACCAATTCAGGCGTGCACAGTCTCAGCTGCACGCCCGCAGAACCACAGCTCCCAGCAGCCCCCTGGCTTCAGGCCGTGCCGCGCGGACTGCTGGGAGCTGTAGTTCTCTTTTCTGTCCTCTCCACCCCTTCCCTCCCCGCCCAAGGTCGCCCCCGACTGCTCCTCCAGACCCCGAGCCCACGCTAACCCCGGCGCTGGAGCTGCTCTGACGCCGACTGCAACAGCCATTCTCCTCTCGTAGCAGCATGGTTGGCCCGGCTCCGGCCATTGGCCCTGGCACCTCCTCTGGGCCTTAAACTTCCTAAGAGCGTTTTGGGTCGGGTATTCAGATCTCGCGAGTGCTCCCAAGCGCTTCCTTTTCGTGAGATCACAACTCCTTCGCGTCTCCGGGTCCGCCACTTCAGAGATCTCGCGAGATTTTATTTCAGTCCGGGTTCACGGGGGGAGCTAATTGCAAGAATATCGCGAGAACTTTACCTGCCATGTCTTAGACTCCTTTAGAAATGCCTGAAATTTGAAAACCTATTCTGGTCTCACACCATCTCTTCCTGTTACTCCTAAATAACTCGTGTAGCCTAGGCTCCGTTCGCAATCGGATTGTCTTCATTTTCTGTAAGAAGGAATTCAACACACTGTGTTCGGTGCCGAACCAAGAATATGTTTACGGTGAACACAAGCAGCCTAAACCCCGCCCTGCTTACGCAGGTAACCTCAGTGGACGGTGGCCGAAAAGGGACAATGGTTTCCATGTTAGCGACAAACGCCCTCCAGGTAGCTCTTGAACCTGGCAGTTTTAAGACTGCTGAGGAGCAAGGAAGTAGCTTAGGAAGCCGGTGCCCCTTATAGGACAGGAGCCATGCAGCGCCGGGGCCTAGTGGCGGGGCCAGACTTTGAATACTTTCACCGTCGGTATTTCACGCCGTCAGAAGTAGCGGAACACAACGAGCCCGAAGACCTTTGGGTGTCTTACCTGGGATATGTGTACAATCTAACGCCGCTTGTACAGGAGTTTAAAGGTGAGGGGCACACGTTAGGGAAGGACTGGGGAGCTGGTTTTGGCTTTTGGGTGCCCGGCTTAAATGCCCGCTGTTCCTTTTTAGGAGACCTACTGCTGAAACCCATTCTGGAAGTTGCAGGCCAGGACATTAGCCACTGGTTTGATCCAAAGACCAGAGACGTAAGTTCTGTTGGAATGTGGGGTTGGTGGACGCGGCGCAGGAATAGGGGAAGGATGGCGGGGAATAAATAACCAGACCCCGACATAATGATGGCTCTTTCCTCCACACTTGCTTTTAAAGATTCGCAAGCACATAGATCCGTTGACTGGTTGCTTGAGATACCGCACCCCACGGGGCCGCTTCGTGCACATCCCACCTCCTCTGCCTCGCTCAGACTGGGCCAATGACTTCGGGAAGCCCTGGTGGAAGGGGTCGAATTACCAGGTGGGGCGGCTGTCTGCCAAGACCCGGAACATCCGTATTATTAACACTCTTACATCTCAGGAGCACACACTGCAGGTGAGATCTGGTGTCTGGGGACAGGCTAGTGGGAACCAGAAATCACTCTGGAAGCTGTGTTTTCTTCCTTTCACATTGTCATAACAAGAGGAAAGCAAACGACTCAGGTTCCCAGGGTTGGAAATTCTAGACGTTTGGATCACAGCTACCAGTCTCCCTTCATAGTGATGGGGGTCCTTGGAAGGGCATCTGTGCTGTTACAGACAGCAGCTGGACTCTTAGTATACTAGGTTGCAGGTGAGAGGCTCTGGCTTGGACTCTGTGGAGCCATTTGTTTGTTAAAAGTGATAGGACTCTTTGTTGTGTGCTGGAGATTCAATTTTACTTCTCTGGGACTGTGGGTGTACTATCTGCTAATGGAGGCACTCTGAACCAAGCTCTGTCATTTAGGGGAGGAGCAAATCCTAAAGGAGCTAGACATAAGGGTCCTTCTGGCCTTTGGGGAGTATAGTATGTGTGTATGTTCCATACAGAATTCTAGAGGTGAATACTTCTGTGTTCTTTAGGTGGGGGCTCTGGAATCAATGTGGGAAATCCTACACCGCTATCTCCCCTATAATGCACATGCTGCCAGCTACACATGGAAATATGATGGGAAGAATCTGAACATGGATCATACCCTGGAAGAAAATGGAATCCGAGATGAAGAAGAAGAGTTTGACTATCTTAATATGGATGGTACAATTCATACACCTGCAATACTGCTCTACTTCAATGATGACCTCACAGAGCTATAGGGAAGGAGATATGCATGTACACTCAAGACATATTTGAGTTTGCCTCTTTCTGTGCCTTGAGGTAAAGAGGTATGGGTCTGTAGAGCTTAGGCCTAGACCCCTATTGCCCTCTGGAAACTGGCCTGTGGTTCTTGTGCCTTTGTGAAATGTAAGGACCCTTATCCCTAGTTCTTCTATGATTTGCTCAGAGAATATTAGTGGGGAGAGAATTAATTCCTATAAATGATAGGGAGAGACCTAGGGTATTTCAGTTGGAATGTATAGAGGAGGTAGATGTCAGGCAGAACTCTTTGATAGTAAGAGAAAGACACACGGGGATGAAGGGATGGAAGAGCTTTTTTGGTAAAGATGAGATATTTGCAGGAAGATGGGATTCACAAAGACAGGGCCCAGAAATTCCTATTATCAACTATGGCTGGTGGGTCGGTTCACTTTCTAAGGTGGTTGACAGGAAAAGTGAAAGGCTGTCAGTCAATTCAGGATAGAAATTATGCCGAGAGCTTTATGCATCCTATAAAGTGAATGCTGGTAATGCTATTTCACAGATAGTTCCTCAGGAGTTTAGAAAGGTCCAGTAGCACAAAAGCACATTCGTAACCTAAGAGCCACAATGCAAATCCACAAGCCTGCCCAACTTTGAAAGTCAGGCTCTTTTCAGTGTAAAGGGACATTCTCAGTAGCTTCACCTAATGCTCTCAACCATGTTTTTGGAATGTGAGCTTGTCCTAGGCTTATTACACAATGGGGAAATGTAACCTATTGTGTAGTCAACATTTACTCTATTGAAGGGAGTTAATCAGCAGAGCACTCTAAGGACCGAGACAGGGAAGGCTGAATTTCAGCCAAGCATTAGCTACCGAGGCCGCTTCTTTGTTAATGTTATAGCAAGATTTCTGACTGGGGGCAACAAGACAGGTATTTACTGACTATGGGAAATACCAGAATGGAGAAAGGGCCTGGAGGTCAGGGTACTGTAGTGAGGGACCCAAAAGGGGGTACTTTATTTTTCCTTCTCTCTTACATTTACAAAAGCAAGGAAGACAGGGTTGACTTTACAAGATGGTGACTCTAAAAGAGGAGGCTTGTTGGCTAGATTTGGTTCCCTTTATTCTTAGCAGGGGAGGGGATAAATTGAGCCAGGCATGGTGACTTTAATCCTAGCCTGGAGGAGGCAGAGGCAGGCAGATCTCCATGAGTTTGAGGTCAGCCTAGTCAACAAAGTTAGTTCTAGGACAACCAGAGCTGTTACACAGAGAAACCTTGTCTTGGGGGTGGGGGGAGTGACAAGAGTGGGGGTGGGGGTGAGGCCCCAGAATAAGTGATGAGCAGATGTCCCTGCTGCAGCAGTGAACACGAACCGAGGAGTACCTTTTCCCAGCTGTGGCCTCAGACTCCAGAGGAGGGTAATGTGACCTCCATGAGACACTGGGTGGGCTACATTGTTTTCTGAGAGTTTGACTGTGGGGAGCATGAATGAAGGCGGGACCAACCCTGCTGATTTCAGTGGTTTCTGAATTCACTGATGCTAAGGACTTTCACATAGTCTCGTGCAACCTAAAATCCATACATTGTTTGGATCCAATCATGATGTTTAGCCATCTCTGAAATGACCTTATGCGTAATTTTTTTTTGGTTTTTCGAGACAGGGTTTCTCTGTTTATTTTTTATTTTGTTTTGTTTTGGAGGCCATCCTCGAACTCGCTTTGTAGACCAGGCTGGCCTGGAACTCACAGAGATCCGCCTGCCTCTGTCTTCCAAGTGCTGGGATTAAAGGCGTGCGCCACCAACGCCTGGCAACCTTTCATGTATTCTTGTTTGTTCTTCTAAGTCCTAAACTATTTGAGAACAAAAGCTTCTTGTTAGAAACATACTCCTTTCCCTATATGCCCAAGGTCTCATCAATTCTTTCCCTAAAATCTTTGCAATCTGTCTAATAAAATAACCACCTTCATTTGTCTCGATTGCTAAGAAACTTCCTGTCTTTCCATTTCTACTTGTGCCTTGACAAACCTAAACATCGTTCTGCCTCAGATCTTCAGTAGGATTTCATGATTTTGGAATAACGCTCTAAATCCAAGAGCCCTGCCTACGTCAGGCCCCGCCCTCCTTGCACGTATCTTTCCTCGGCGTCCTCTTTGTCCGGTGTCTGGTACATCCTGGGCGGCCTTCTGATGGAGATTCCATCAGTTAATACAGAAACTGATCTCCCAGCTCACCACGGCCCCTTTGCTTTCCACCTCCATTATCCTAAATATTCCTTCAGTTTTCCTAGCACTGTGCATTTTTCAGTGTTCTTATCACTATAAAATGATGTAGAATGGATGCAAATGGCTGGCTGATAGATTGTAAGCTCGTAAGGGCAGAAATCTCATTCACTGCTGTATTCTCATTACTGAGCACATAGCTGCTGCTCAATAAATGAGACCAAATGAACTTGGGTATCAAGGAATTCATCTGTATTAACATTGTGTCCTGAAGGCAAAGTGGGACTAGGAGATAGCAGGATGCCCAGCCCTGTGCCTTGGTCTCCACCCGTACATTTTTTGTTGTTGTTGTTATCGTTTGTTTTTTATTACACAGAGCCAAGACTCCAAATTACTCTTGCAGACTCTGGCACCAGAGACAGTTGGGGGTAATACACCTGTGATTTCCCCTATGGCCACCAGGTGGCTCTAATGACTAAAGAGTCAGGGAGAGAAGAGCTGTGAAACCCAACTTCAAAGAAGTTAAAATTGAGGCCACTCGGTAAAGGGCACACGCCTTTAATCCCAGCACTCAGGAGGTAGAGCAGGTGGATCTCTGAGAGTTCAGGGCCAGCGTGGTCTACAGCCAAGGCTGTTACACAGAAAAACCCTCTCTCAAAAAAACTTTTTAATTAGAAAAATAAAAATGAAGGAAGTCACTAATGGGGCAGATGACCCTGGTTAAGAGTGCTGACTGCTCTTCTAGAGAACTAGGGTTCCATCCCCAGCGCCCACACGGTGACTGACAGTCGTCTAACTCTAGCTCTGGGGCTCTGATGCCTTTTCTTTAGCATGGGCGCATGTGTCAGAGCATCTGCACACACGAATCAGTCATTTATGGGATGAGGTGAACGGAGCACCTGAGTAGGTGTGTGTAGCACTTGGCATGTAGCTCGGTGGGACAGCATTTGTCGGGTGGGTGCCTATGGGGTGAGGTGTAGAGTTTAGGAATGAGGAGAAGCCGGGTGTTGGTGGCGCACGCCTTTAATCCCAGCACTCGGGAGGCAGAGGCAGGTGGATATCTGTGAGTTCGAGGCCAGCCTGGTCTACAGAGTGAGTTCCAGGACAGCCTCCAAAGCTACAGAGAAACCCTGTCTCGAAAAACCAAAAAAAAAAAAAAAATGAGGAGAACATCACATCTTGTTTTGTGATGTGGCTACATTTAGTCCCCTTTAGCCCTCACAGGGGAGGGAATAAGGAATAAAGAAGTGGATTTCCCTGCAGCAACAGGCAAGCTTGAATCAAGGAGCGCATCCTTCCAGCTGTGGCCTCAGGCTCCGGTGGAGGATAATGTGACTTCCGTGAGACACTGGGTGGGCAGAGATACTGAGTAGGCAGTTTTTGAGAAGTCTCACTGTGCAACACAGGCTGGCATCAAACTCCCAACCCTTCTGTGTGAGCCTCCTGAGTGCTAGGATCGCAGAAGTATGCCACTATGTGCAGTGTCTTAGGTCTCTGTACTGTGAGAAAACACCATGGCCAAAGGCACCCGGAGGAGGAAGCATTTATTTCTGCTTTCAGCTGTGGTCCATCACTGGGGAAGCCAGGGGAGGAGCTCAAGGCAGGAACCTGGAGGTGGGAACTGAAGCAGAGGCCAAGGAGGATGCTGCTTACTGACTCACACCTCATGGCTTGTAAGCCTCACCCCGAGATAAGATGTCTCTGTGTAGCCATGGCTGCTTTGACACTCGCTCTGTAGACCAGGCTGGCCTCGAACTCAGAGATTCGTCCACCTCTGCCTCCCGAGTGCTGGGGTGAAAGCTGCTGTCATCCATAAGCCTGTTGCATTTTATTTTTTATACAGCTCAGGAGTGGCACTCTCAGTGAACTGGGGCTTCCAACATCAGTCATTCATTAAAAAAAATGTCCTACAGAGTTGCCTGTTACAGTTTCCTTTCTTTTTTCTTTTTTTTTTTTCTTTTTTGCCTGTGGCATTTTCTAAACTCAGGCTCCTCTTCCTAGATAGTTCTAGTTTGTGTCAAGATGATGAAAACAAAACAACCAGGACACCAGCCAGGAGTTTTTACGGTAGTAGATACTAAAAACATAAAAACGTTGATGGTGCAAAGTGAGGGGAGACTGACTGCTAAAGTGACAATAGGGACCATGTGAGTTTTAGTCACTCACTGACACTTGTTACTTACTTTGTTATCGGCTTCCCAGGAGCCTAGAAACTTCACATGAGGAACATGTGTCTGTAAGCTGAGATCTAGAAACAGCATGGTGTGGGTACAAGTCCTCTTGTGGTGATCGACTGTGCTGAGAGGAGATGTGGCAAAGGACAGAATGCTAAGCTGACCTCAGTCAGCTCCAGCAGCGTCAAGGGACTCAGCTGGCAGTTTCTGCAAACTGATGGCCATATACTTCACTGGGGATAATAAGCACATATTCCTTGTAGTAAAAATGCCAATTATTGTATAGAAAAGGGTTCTATACCTCATGGCAAGACACTTGGACATCTTGAAACTTTCTAAATACTGTGTGTGTGTGTGTGTGTGTGTGTGTGTGTGTGTGTGTGTGTGTGTGTGTAATTTCCATCAGATACCACTAAGAGTCCAAACACCTGCCTAGAATAGTAGTTACACTCATACAAAAAAAACAAAACTTTAAAAGCCTCAAACGTAACTAACAAATAGGCAGCCTGGCACCAGTCTTAATGATCTATGTCAACCCATATCATATTCTCTGTGCTCCCCTGGCAGAAATTTCAAAGGTAATGATGGGTCTGAAGTACTCCACTGCTATCCTAGAGCTGTTTTGACCTGGCTGTGCCTCGTAGCTGCAGGGGTTATCTAGCTCTTTTATGCTGGAGACTGACTCTACAGCCTCAGTTGTGACATCTGGATAAGGATGATGCTTCCAGCTCTAGAGCTGCATCTGCAGAGTGTTCACAATTGTGTTAGTATTAGGAGAACAGCCGCTTTATGACAGGCCGGCAAGAAAGCAGTGCTTGAAACCCTTGCCTTGGAGATGAAAAGTCCAGTGTTCAAAGTACAGATAGGGAAACCCTTGCCTTGGAGATGAAAAGTCCAGTGTTC